GCTGCAGAGGAGCAATCGACAGAAGAGCATTTTGTAGGGGAGCTGTCGGTAGAAGAGCCACCTGCGGAGCAGCCCACTCTGCGATGATCAATGCGATCCAACAAGGGTGTTGCGCTAGTTCGTTACCGTGTGGCATTGACGGCACTCTCGATGAACGTCCTCGACGGCATAGACGTAGACGTAGCACTCAAGGAGCTGGACTCGGCAGGAAATCGTGTGGCAGATCGTGCGCCGTTGGGACATTTCAAAGATGCCTGTCCCAGTCGCTCTAATGAGTTGGAAGGGCCCTGCTGTGAAGGCAGCGATGGAAGGAGATGCAAAATCTGTGGGACCAAGGAACTTGGGACTTGGTTTTCCCACCTCCTGGCGTCAATGTGATGGGAAATTGCTGGGTTCTCGCTACCAAGTATCTTTCCGATGATATGGTAGAAAGAGAGAAGGGGCTTCTTGTCGTTCAGGGATTTACGCAACTGCCTAATCTCGACTACGACTTGACATATGCTCCAGTTGGCAGCTATGTGACTGCTCTTCTACATCTACTCATTGCTATGGCATTTGACTTGGAGCTGATGCAGCTCGATATGACGAACGCGTTTCTCAATGCACCCATCGATCGTCCTCTCTACATAAAGCAGCCGAAGTAGTATGATGACGGTAGCGGCAGAGTTTGTCTTCTCAAGAAAAGCCTTTACGGACTCAAGCAAAGTCCAAAGTTGTGGTACGAACAACTTCACGGAGTTCTGCAGAGTGGAGGCTGGTCGAAGAGTCAGGTCGACGAAGCCTTCTACAGTGACGGAAAAAACTGTCCGGATGTTTGGCATTAATTAGGTTTTTTAGGCTTTTCGACCACGGTACATAAAGTCTTAATGTTTAATGGTGGTACGCTTTTGGAGGGGCACATAGTGTATGTGTTCACAGCACTTACGTCCATAGTAGTACACTGCATCTAACTTAGTGCCAAAAGTTATACAAGGGGGTCATCCAGACAGTTTTTTCCCGGAACAAAGCGTAAACTTCCGAACAGGTTTCTAGTACCTAGTACACCGACCCTTGGCCTTGATCACCACCCGCACCCTCCTAGGCATGTTATCTACGAGGTTAGTGCAAATCGTTGCAGAGATCTTCTCGCACTCTTCCTGGACCCTCCCTTTTGCATAAGGGGGTGAGCACTAGGAAAACCGCGAGGGATTTGAGTGTCTGCAAGTTTTTTGTGCACGATTTCTGTTTGAATGTTATGTATAAGACTAGCCACACTGAGGTATGACCAAAATGCCATTAGCCGATTAGTTCCATCTTATCATGGGTCGTTTTCGTCGTACCGCTGTAGGGTAAAACCATGAACAGAGCGGCAAAAAATAGTGTATATGCCATGAAACTGAGGGTGACGTAGCACGGTTGATTATTCATCCTTGCACTATTAGAATCACGCTAGGATCTGCATGTCTCATCACGGTGTAGCATTCGAAGAAGTTGCGACTATTGTGGAAGAATATTCAAGTTGAGGTCAGGTGAAGAAAAGGGCCACTCCAGTGCTACAAACTGATGCTCTCCAATTCTATTCCAAGCCTATGCGGTACAAATGGCTTGGAGAGCATTGGGGAGCATAAGCATGTTGCACTGGAGTGACCCTTTTCTTCACCAGACCTCAACCTGGATATTCTTCCCGAACAGTTGCAACTTCTTCGACTGCTGCACCGTGATAAGACATGCAGATCCTAGCGTGATTCTAATAGTGCAAGGATGAATAATCAACTGTGCTACGTCACCCTCAGTTTCATGGCATATACACTATTTTTTGCCGCTCTGTTCGTGGTTTTACCCCACAGCGGTACGACGAAGACGACCCATGATAAGATGGAAGTAATCGGCTAATGGCATCTTTGGTCATACCTCAGTGTGGCTAGTCTCATACATAACATTCAAATAGAAATCGTGCACAAAAAACTTGTAGACACTCAAATCCCTCGCGGTATTCCAAATGCCCACCCTCTTATGCAAAAGGGAGGGTCCAGGAAGAGTGCGAGAGGATCTCTGCAACGGTTTGCACTAACCTCGTAGATAACATGCCTAGGAGGGTGCGGGTGGTGATCAAGGCCAAGGGTCGGTGTACTAGGTACTAGAAAGCTGTTCGGAAGTTAACGCTTTGTTCCGGGAAAAAACTGTCCGGATGACCCCCTTGTATAACTTTTGGCACTAAGTTAGATGCAGTGTACTACTATGGACGTAAGTGCTGTGAACACATCCACTATGTGCCCCTCCAAAAGCGTACCACCATTAAACATTAAGACTTTATGTACCGTGGTCGAAAAGCCTAAAAACCGTGGTCGAAAAGCCTAATTAATGCCAAACATCCGGACAGTTTTTTCTGTCACTGTACTTCCACGAAGATAAGCACGGTGACAAGTGCTATCTGGTCGTCTACGTAGACGATCTGCTGGCTGCAAGTCGGAGCAAGGCGCATTCGGAGGAGTTGAAGACTCTGCTTGAGAAGGCGTTCAAGCTTCGAGAGATCATTCCTGTGCATGAGTACTTGGGATTAGAGCTGATCAAGGACAGAGCTGCTTGGAAGATCTGGATCCACCTGAGAGGCTACATCGACAAGTTGCAGAGGCGTTTTTTGCCAAAAGGGCCTACTCAATGAAGCCTAAAAACGCCGATTTCTATTGATGCGTTTAAGGAGCTGACGTTTGACGATGCAGAGTTGCAGGGGCATACAGAGAAAGAATATCACCAGAAAATGGGATCTCTGCAGTTCGCCACCTGCATGACACGTCCGGACATCGCTTTCGCTTGCAGCAAGCTCGCGTCTGGGAATACTATTCGAAGTGATCAGAACTGGAAAGAGCTCGACTGTTGCCTTGCGTATCTCGTGGGGAATCGCGATGTGGCTCTCGAGCTCGGCGGAGAAGCCACTGATTTGCACCTCGTCGGTTTCGCAGATGCCGATGATGCTGGCGACAAGTAGAGTCGCAACAGCATGAGTTGCTACATTTCCACCCTTGGCAGAGCAGCAATTTCGTGGGCAAGCAAGATGATCAAGTGTGTCACCCTCTCGTCTAAGGAATCCGAGTACATCTCTGCTGTGGAGGACGGCAAGGAAGCTTAGAAGCTGCGCTTCTTGCTGGCATAGTATGGGCTCCTCGACGAGGATAAATCCACAATGCTCTATGTCGAAAATCAATCTGCCATGGCTGTGTCGGAAGGGATGGGGCTTAAGGGGATCCTTAAGCATATGGAACGGCGATACATGTGGTTGCAGCACATGGTCGAGCATCGGAAGCTGAAATTGCAGTACATCCCGATGAACAAGTAGCCGGCAGACGACTTGACCAAGGCGTTGCATTTTCGTGCATTCGATCAATGCTTCGACAAATTGGGTCAAGTGCGATTGTCTGCGAAGGGGAGCGCAGACGAAGTTTCATTTGAGGAGGAATTGGTGCCATGACCTCTTTCATGGCTGGTGCGGTGATTCAAGCGTCTGAAGAAGTGCAGATTCTCACAACTTTCTGTGTGTTTATTTTGTCTGCTTTCTTTTCATTTTAGTGTCCCCTCTAGATCTGGTTCTGAGCTGGTTGGTGATTTCGCATGACCAGTGCATGGGAGTGTTGAGAATAGCCCTGATCCTACGAAGGCTACAGAAGTCTGCAAAAGTGGCATATCGACGAAGTCTATGGACGCAATCTCTGCAGGAAGGCCTATTGACAAAGGGCAGCTTTGTCAACAAGGCGAGGCTCTGCGGAAATGCTCATTGACGGAGACCAGTCCCGTCGAAGTGACTTTGTTATTGATGGCGCTGCTTCTGCGAGAGGCGAATTTCTACAAGTGGCTTCTACGACGAAAGTGGTCTTCTGTGAAAGTGGTCTGTGCAGATCACGGAGTGGAGAAGACACTTCTGCCGAGGGGCCATTCGCAGAAGAACTGTCGTCTGCAGAAATGCTCACAGAATGCGCACCTGCAGGCGACTTGCGGAAGAAGTCGAAATTCGAGATGTGCTGTAGAAAGGACCTCAGGCGAACTGGCGCGAGGGCTCATTCGAACTCACTTCTGTGGGAGCGCCTCAGAAAGATTTCGACACTCACTTATGTGGGAGCGCTACAAAAAGATTTCGACACTCTCTTCTGCGGGAGCGCGATAGAAAGATTTCGCGGAACTCTTTCTGTGAGAACGCTGCAGAAAGAGTTCGCGGAACTATGTTCAGTGAACAACTTCGCAGAAATGAATTTCTGGCGCTAAGGGGCGATTCCGAAAGTGCGCGAATTTCCGCCCCTTCCAGAAGTTTCAAAATGAACCGATCTAGACCGCAAAGGCAAATCTGCATGCGACATTGAGAAATTGAACACAGGTGACGTACATTTCGTAACTATGGAAATGTGCGTAACAGCTGACAATTTCATTACCTGAAACTGTTAAACAACTACTTTGAGGCTGGTGAAATTACTAAGCATGTGCCTTGATTTTCTCCTGCCATTGCTAACTTGGCTAAGTGCAGTTGGAAGTAGTTATGTCAACGTTCTAGTAAGAACGTCTAGCGGTGTTCAATGAGGTAGTATTTCTTAGAACTGAAGAAGTGGGTTCCTAAACTTACGACACTAGCTTAGCTAGGATACTAGGAATGCCGCCATGGAATGGCGTGAGGAAAGTAGATCTAGGAGCGGGGGAGAGAATGTCAAGCAAGAAGAGGGTTCGATTAGGAAGAGAGAGGAGTACAAGGAGGGGTTTGTACCCTCTACAGAAAGGTTCAGTAACAACCTACCAAGCCTATATTAAATTATAACTTATATAATTTTAACAGTATTAGCGTTTGCCTTGTGTACCATAATTTTGTAATCTTGATTCTAGTGAATTTTGTGTAAATGCAAGCTTTGTCAAGCTGTACTGTTGAACACACAATATGGAGGCAAACTTCTCCTTAGAAAACAGCAAAGCTAGAGTAGCTCTGTCTGCGTCAGGCACTTCCGCAGATGCTCCTGTTATAGCAGATAACTCTGCAACGAGTATACGGTCATGCCTTCCGGCTCCACAAACGCGCCTTCGACATTCCAGTTGACCATGAACGAGATTTTTCGGCCACTACTAGATATGTTAATCATCGTGTACCTCGAGGACATTCTCGTCTATAGCACAACCCGAGAGCAGCATTTGAAGGATTTGGAAGCGGTTTTCTATGTACTACAGCAGAACCGACTCATCACCAAGGGCTCTAAGTGCAAGTTTCTCAAGCACGAACTGGAGTTTTTGGGTAACGTGATCTCCGTCGACGGCGTTAAGATTGATCCCAAAAAGATTGCTACCATCAAAGAGAAGAAGCCGCCGGCTTATCTCCGTGAACTTCAGAGTATCCTGGGGTTTGTCAATTAGGTCTGACAGTTCAGTCCGAACATGGCGGGGGTAACTTCCCCTCTCACGGATCTCCTGAAGAAGGGCACAAATTTTGAGTGGGGGGGAGAGCAGCAGGTTGCGTTCGAAAGCTCAAACTTTTCCTGACTACACCTCCAGTTCTTCGGATTGCGGATCCTCACCGTCCGTTCGAGCTCATCACCGACGCTAGCGATCTGGCCGTTGACGCAGTACTGTTACAAGACTTCGGCGAAGGCCTCCAACCCATCGCCTACGAGCCACGAAAGCTGAATCAGGACGAGCGAAATGATCCTGTCCATGACAAGGAGTTACTCGCCATCGTTCACGCTTTCAAAGTCTGGCGCTGCTATCTGACAGGCGCTGACGTGACTGTCTGAACAGACCACAAGTCGCTACAGTTCATCCGTGCCCAACCGACATTGAATCCCCGACAGATTTGTTGGCTCGACTAGCTCGAGTCCAACTTCCACTACAGAGTCACCTACAAACGAGAGGTTAGCAACATCGCCGACGCATTGACCCGCCCCTCGGCCCATACCGCCGTCGTCCTAATTACCCAAGCTAATCCGCTGCTGACTGGCCTATTCAACCATGGATTCAGTACTGACGGTCAAGCAAGGGGCCTATAATGTAAAATCCGGTACCAATCGGATTTGGGTCCCCACCTACCGTACACTACGGGAACTACTGATCCAGGAGGCACATGACTCGAATTTTTCGGGTCACTACGGCATCGACAAAACCACAAAATTACTGAGCCGTAATTATTACTGGCTCGACCTACCGACAGACGTGCAGTAGTACATCACCTCATGCGCCACATGTCAACGCATGAAGTCTTCGCGGCTTCGACCTGCTAGATTGCTGCAGCCGCTCGAGCCACCCAGCCGACTCTGGTAACAAGTGGTGATGGACATCGTCACTGGCCTGCCAGCTGGTCCAAGCGGCAATGACGCGATTCTTATCGTTGTTGACCGGTTGACCAAAATGGCCCATTTCGTCGCCTGCAAAATGACAATCACTGCCGAACAGACAGCGAAACTGTTCATCACGAACATCGTGCGGCTACACGGCATCCCCTTGGCAATCATCAGCGATCGTGACCCAAGGTTCATGTCCAACTCTGGACAAAAACCTGGCAGCAGTACGGCACACGTCTGCATCTTTCCACGGCCTACCACCCGCAATCGGACGGTCAAATTGAGCGCACCAACCAGACGATGGAGCAGCTGATTCGCACAACACGCACAGACCCGACCCATTGGGTAGGTACCCTTCCTTTGATTGAGTTTGCGTACAACAATGCTCCATCGGCCACGACTACTCAGTCCCCGTTCTTCCTTAATTACGGGATAGATCTGACAATCCCTCTATCGCCACCGATAAAAAATCCGGCAACACGGTCTCAGCAGTTCGTCGAAAACCTCTGACAGACTCAGCAAAAAGCTGCCGATGCCATCCTAAAAGCCAATCAGAGGGCTAAGCAACAAGCTGACCGACGACGCCGAGACTTAACACTTGTCCCTGGGCAATTGGTCTTGCTCAACACCAGAAATTTGGAAATTCCCCTCCCAAACGATCGAGACGTCTAAGATTCTCGCTCATCGCGTACGGGGACATCGAGATACAATAGCCGTCGTTTTCCTTGTACGATGGGTCGATCGCACAAGTGATGGCGATCTCTAGGTTCCAGCAGCTACGCTCGGCGAATACAGAGTTGTCCGGAACTATTTACATCGACGACGTGTCCCCAATGTGGGTAGTCTCGTCCCGGAAGGGGGGGTGGTGTAAGGAAATTCTCTTTTCCTTCCTTAAGGTTCAGGAAAGAGATCGAAGGGTCTCGAAATGACGAGGTGAGGCACGGAGAACTCCCGAAGGTCGGACTGGAAGGTCTGGAGAAGCCGAGGTGGTTCCGTCAGAAAGGTCCGGAACTGACCCGAGGCTTCGGATGTATTCGAGCATACGCGAAAGCAGTACCGCTCGGTAAGGAATGGAATATTCCTTACACCACCCCCCCTCTTAGCGAAGGTGATCTATATCAGTCACGTGCTTGCGGGCTAAATAATTCGCAAGTATCGAAGGTGACTGTATCTGGTACGAGGGAACCCACGTGTCGTCCTCACTGGTACGATTGGTCCATCGTATCAGAAAGTCAACGTGTCGTCCTTGGCCATCGATTCGAATCCTATGGCTCAAAATCTTCGAAGGCTCGATGGTCGTCTCTGCTGGTCGTACATACGAGACCAATCGCTGTCGAGCGATGTCCGATGTGTCGGGTACCAAAGGTCGCAATAAGCTCACGTGGAAAAGGTCGGGAACCCGCTCTCGCATACGTCCGATGCGCGTCAAAATTGTCTGCGATCCAGACTGTTTCGTGAAACATCGTCGGCAGTCGCAAGCGAACCTTGCATTAAATGTACTGCTTTAGACCCAAAATGAATCGAGCCTACTTCTCGGAGTCATGCATGTCGGTGATGTGATCGCATAATGCCATGAAGACTGACGCGTAATCTTGGACATAACTCCACTGGCACCAGTTGTCCAGCTTCGTGCGTGCATTATCCGAGGCGGATATTGGCTCGAATCATTCACGCAGAGCTGTACCCTACACCTTCCACGTGCGAATCTTGGTTGATCCGAAAATCGTGGTTGACCCTTGGGCAGCAGACCCAAAGTTTCCGAAAAACCCCAGTGTGTCGCTTGCCGAAAACTCCCCCTCCTGTAGTGTAGATTGCCACCAATATAGTGCAGGTCCCCGCAGTGGTGATACAACCAACCGAAATTTTAAATCGTCAGCAGTGATCCTAGCGGCATTAAAATAAAGTTCCGTTGAAAATAACCATCCTGTAACTGTTGTATTCTTATCGGTGGGGTTGAACGGGGGCAGCATTGTCAGTTTGATGGTCGATGCTGTCACTATGAGCACGACTGCTGGTGCGGCTACAATAGCGGCTGCTTCCGACCGAGCAGCTGCTGCTGCTACCGCTGCTACTGCTTCGGCTGCTGCTCGTGCTGCCACGTCAGTTGTTGCAGCGGCTTCGTTGTCCTTAGGCTTCTGAGATACCTCACATGCGATTTCGTCCAAAACGGTTTCTATACGTCCGGTGCTGGCGACCTCTTCTTGGGCGGCAGTTTTCTGGCACGAATCCTCTCGTGCCTGGCGTAACTCGGCAACTTCTGCTCGAAGTCACTCATTGTCCTCCAGCACTGTAGCCATGCGTGTATTCATGGCGTTGAACTGCTCCAGAAGCTCGTTGAACTGAGCTTGGTCCATTCGGCGAACGCTCCGCCGGGGCAAGGGGAAATCCGTAGTGTGCCTGTACGCAGGTAAGCACAAACGCTATCGTAGTTGGGCGTCTTAATCAGTCTAATTCGCGGGCAACCGCTTTGCAGCTTACGTGAGGGACTTACCCCCCCCAAAAATAATCAACTCACGAAAACGTGTGAGCAAGGAAAGTGGTTCTAAATACCAGGTGTTCAGGGCTGACGTTATCAGGGTATTTTACGCTGATTCCCTGATTTCACAGGGTATCTTTTTCAGCTAGCCCTTAATTTTCATGCGGTCAAAATCTCAACACTTAACGCTTCAGGGTTATAAGTTCTCCAATACTGAGAATTTCATGGACCGTGTTCTGGGGATACCGAGTTTCCAGGTGTTAAGGCGTACCGACCGTGACACAAACATATTGCACCAAACTGCCCACAATCCTGAGATTTCGGCGAAGTTCCCAATCGCCCAAGACATTTCCCCCACACACCCAGCAACCTACGTAAAATGTTGGCTAAGTCCAACTGGAAGGACACTCCCCCCCCACACACAGCAGCAATCTACAGAAATCAGCTAAGTCCTCTTGTACGGACACTCGCCCCACACACCCCGCAACCTAAAAAAAATCAGCTAAGTCCTAATAGCCGGAGACATCACCCTCCTCAACAAAAATTATTGGTGTCCTTTTATTCAGACATCCCTCCCACACAACAAGCAACCTAAAAAGTCAGCTAAGTCCTCTAGGACAGCCACTCCCCCCGCACACCCAACAACCCACAAAACCCGGCTAAGTCCTAATAGCCAGAGACGGGACACACGAAAAAATGGTGAAGTATATAGTACAGACATTCCCACTCCCAGTCCTCAACGTCACCCCTTATACCCCTAACAAACCCATAGCTATGTTGAAAGAGCAGTCGCTCCTTTTAGTGGAATTTTACACCAGTTGCCCGTGTTCTCATTTAAAATTCAATCAAAATGGGACGGCCACGATCGATTGCGATTGTTTTGACAACTATCAGCCGTTCGATGGTTGCCAGTCATAAACATCCAAGATTACCTTAGCCATTTGAATCACACCCATGACGGTGGAAGGGAGCGGGGTCCCTCCCACAGAGGGCGCTGCAAGCACGCGACGTTTCTCCCACCACCCCATTTGCCAGCTTCCCCCCCTCCCCTCCGTTTCGATCCCCCCCTACCTCTCCGTTTTGCTTCCCCCCTCCCCTCCGTTTCGATCCCCCCTTCCCCTCCGTTTCACTTTCCCCCTCCCCTCGGTTTTGATTCCCTCCCCTTTTCCCACTCGAATTCGATTCCCCCCTCCCCTCCTTTTCGATTTCCTCTCCCTCAATTGAGCCGTGGACGGCCATCTGATTTTTGCGCTACAGTGTTTTCACTTCGCCTGGGAAATCTGAAAAAAATAAAACCCGCCCGTCAGAAGGAGCAAATGAGAAATATCGTGACTGCTGGAGATGATGCGGCAATTTGAGAATAGCTACGGTCGTTGCTAAATGGATCCTTGATTGTGTTCTGTGAACCCTGAGAATAATGAAGTGTTGAATCATTGAATGGCAACGATATAAGGAATGGCAAGCCAAGATATAGGAACACCAGAGCTAGTCTAACCATGAGATGTGAAGGTTCGGGAAAGAGATCGAAGGGCAGGGTCCACGATTGCCCCCAACCACTTTCTAAGCGATTCTGATCATCAGACGGCTACTTCAAAGATTTCTGATTTGTCAGACGAACATGCCATAAAATTCTAAATACACAGAATGTTTAGAGGCACATTTCTTAGCTTACTAATGCACAACATGTTGCACCTCCTAGCTTAACTACTCAAACAAGTCCTCTACAACCATGGTCATGCGCACATCCACCTCTTCATCATTAGCACTAGTCTTCTTCCTCTTCTTCTTTTCATGCTTTCTCTTCATGCGGGGGGGGGGGGGTTGGGGTACGCCGTGTGCGTGCCCTCCGACCTAAGAATGTTCTTGAGGCAGTTGTGGAATGAGTGGTCTTAGTAGTGGTTGTTCATCATCCTAGTGAACTGCGGAAGCTCGCTTTCAGCCTTCAGCCAGTCGATTCCTATGGGGCGAGATTTTGAGGGAAGCATTATAAAACTTAGATCCTCCTATTGCAACATCCACATTCAATACATGCCGCAATACTGCTACATTAACAATCAATGTACATAAACCAAAAAGAGACGCACCGGGCATGGCGCACTTCTCGGCACTGTGGAGGACCTTAAAGCCAGCGGCCCAAATTGCGAGACGCGGCCTTCAAACGCAGTGCGTTTGAAAGTTGCTTTTTCGGTGGGTGTATTGGTGGGTAACGAAACTCTTGTCACTCAGGGGTGCCTTTCAAGTTCAGTGCGGAAGGTAATGTGGAACACCAGGTGCCGAGCGTTTTTCAACCGTCCAGTTTTTCTAGATTTTCATGTGACAGCGCATAAGCCAAGCACTTCCCCAAGTCAGTCGAAAGGTAATCTCATCCGTCAAACTGTGTGTTGTAAATTTGACTATTCTCGACAAGCGATAAATTTGCGAGATTAAATGCCCTCGCGATTTTCCAACGTATTTCGTACAGCCCGAGGGTCAAACTTCATACCCAGTGCGTTTGAACAATTTGGGCCGCGGGTTTTAAGCGAATCAAACCACTCTGCACACAGCCGCTTGCATTTTGCGGGTGCTTCGGGGTATGCATTGGGGAGGAACAGCTTCGACCCACAGAGATTGTTGAGACTCGCCATACGCGTCTCTAGATACAAGGCTCCATATCTCCTTTGCTCCTTTGGTCACTCAAGTCCTTCTCATGAAGCTTGAAGGTGTGGGTCTTAGGGTTGCCAGAGCCATCAATGCCCTCCACCATGACTCTCCACTTGTTGGAAGGTCCATGCTCCTCCACGAACTTAGACAGCAGGTTGGAGCCTTTGCCGAAGTTCACGCCATGCTCGATGTAGCGTGAGCGGAGCAAATTGCAGGTGTCCTCAATCAGCTGGGCGACTTTGGTGATGTCCGCCTGCGATGTAGCCACTGCTATGAAATCAGCGCTGTTATGCTTTCACGCAGGAGGAGCAAGCTATTTATATTGATGAACAAGCACGCACGCTTACAGCTCGACGCTGAAACTTTTTGTTGAGGGCATTAAGCTCTGCAAGGACGTCAGCTAGGAAAAAGATAAGGAAGT